ATGCCGCTATGAACGCGGATTGAAAAGCTGATGAACAAAGCCGCGGTTGATTCGAACGTGACGTTCGATCGACGTGCATTTTATTTTCCCGTTTATAAATACGACATTGTTATTTAAGACATCAAACGGTCGGACTCTCCTCATCGATCGCTGCAACGAACATTGGGAGAACCATAGTACGAACGCGCGCGTAACACGTGTAATACGTGTAAACGTAATAACGTCGATCGGCGACACGGTCGCTCCCGTCAATCAGTGTCCCATCGACGGCAGGAATTTGTCGTCGGGCATGACTTTTGATTGTTGTCATTTACGTCTCTTTTTTATAATGGCTCGTGATTGGATCTGCGTGTTGCTCGCTTGTACGATTGTAATCCGGGATAGGTATCGGACGCCGGTAGCCATTTCATCGGCGACGTAAAAAATCCGTCAAAACGTGTATTTCATAGTCGACATGATGTGTCTCGTAAAATTCGTTCGATGTTTAAAATCTCATCGATATCAAAATTCAATCACTGTTGCCCGCGTTTTATTCTTTGTTCTACTAAAATTCTATTTTATTTCGTTCACTATTAGTTTGCGCCCGTGAAAATAATCGATTTTAATTCTCAAATTCGATTAAATCTAACGTTTAAAGATTTATGAGAAAAAATGTCAGATTACAGATAAGTAAAGCAGAAAAAAAAAATGGAAATTTTCAAATAATACATTCAAAAATGTAATGAAACAGAAAAAGCAAATTGTTATACTATTATGGACAATTAAAGTTAAACGGTGAAATAGTTAATATAGTTAATATATATTTTACTAATTATTTATGAAAGATTATCTAAGTGGAGTTTTAATGGAAAATTATATTGAATGCACCATTATCTTAGCTTTGAATTTAAATATCGTGCTCTGATCTCGCTTTGGAGCTCCTTTGTGGTAATCCGGCTTCAGTTTACAAAATAGTCATAACAGTCTCAAGAGCGAATTATCCGACCGCGATTAATTAAGGGTAACCTGATATGAGCGCGTAATACACTCGGAGTCTCATTTTAATCTTCGGAATTGCCCGGGCAAGGAAAGGTCGTAGCTACTTAATCGGGGTTAAATCTAATCTTTGAAACGGGATTAAGCACGGCCGCTGTTTTTGCGGGTACGGACACGTCGATATTGCGAATGTGTCCTCCGGCAACTAACTAGAATCCTCGGCTGAGTGCCAAGCGAATTTCAAGATTACCGTCTGGACGTGCCTATGTTCATCCGATTAAGGGAAACCGAAGCTTTGACATCGATATGCCAGGGCGTATTTACGGTAATTAGTTACTCGTAATTGGCGGTTTCGATGCGCTGCGATTCATCATTCGTAAATCTTCGGGCAAAAACGCGATTTGGATCGGTTCGAAGACGGTAGCGGACGCATTATGAAAAAGATGCTGACACTATCGAGACCGTGACAATCGAGCACTCGGCAGAGATTGTCGTTTTACAAAGAAACTGATACTGAGTAACGGTTGTCGTGTTGATAAAATAACGCACTAAATGAAAATAAAACGTACTGTCTATTATATAATATTAAAAAAACGAATGCGTTTTCTTCAAGAGAGACTTTCAGCTCTCGAGAAAGTCTAAGAAACATCACATCATAGGATAAATTTTATTGCGCGATCTCTTTTCTAAACTTTCACTCGAGGACATAAAACTAAGAAGCTTTTCTCGGAAGCGCGTAAAGAACGCGATTGCGCTCGTAACTTGTGACGAACAAAAAAAAAAAAAAAAAAAAAAAAAAAAAAAAAAAAAAAAAAAGAAAGAAAAAGGGAAAAAAAATAAAAGAGCGAGTGGCATCGAGGGCGATAGAGCATCGTGCGAAAAAGTTGCGAGGTTTTTCGCGATTTCGCGGCGCTTACACACGGGGGACTTGATTGCGCGGCGACGACGCATGTCATAATCCAATTTCTGGCGTGCGGCCGTTTATTTCGCTCCGGGTCCGCGCGACAAACCGCGACACGTTCGCTCTCATCCGACGACGCTTCTTTTTTTATGATGCGACGCGACCCATACACACTTACCGTCGTGGAAGTAGTACGAGACCTCCATATACTCCTCGTCAGTAGGGCTGTTCGAGGCGCGCCTTAAAACCACCGTCATGTCCCGGCCATTGGACGAGTAACGCTTTGGCTCGACGTACCTGGAAGAAGAATTAAGAGAGCGTCATTTACGCTCGTTTCAAGCTTCCCGTGTCGATGCGCGAGGATTTTTTCACGCTTTCACCGCGCGAAAGCGGTTTACGTTTTCGTTTCAGATCGGAATCTGGTGTAAATCGAACGACGACAGATCTCGATGGCGGATAATATTTTAATCTTTATACGCCGTTGATGGTAGTTGGTATTTAAATATTTGCTCCCATATATTTCGCATCAAAATGTAGATTGTCGACGCTTGAATACGAATCGAGACCTACCTTTAGTTTATATAAACCATGGTCGGTTTATAATTAATTACGAAAGACTTTACAAATGATTAAATATAAAAAATTAGGTATAATAAAGCTTCCGAAAAGACCACTGACCTCTTATCTCAGATTATATAAAATTTATCTTATGAACCAACAGAGAGTCGGAATGACTAAATGGTTTTGCCTCACGATCATATATAATTTATAAAGGAACAAATTGTGTTTGCCGGGATCGTATTATGAATAATGATCGATCCGATTTCCTGTAATGTACGTTACACACGCATACATACTATGCAGAATTCATGACACTTTTCACCGGAGATGAATTTGGGACACGCGGAAACTTCGTCGCGAATTATTAATTCACCATTATCTCGCAAAAGGGGAGAGAAGGGCAAACGCGCACGAAAGGGCGCGAAAGGGTGTTCCACCGGAAGTTACACAGAGAACCCGAGACAAAGCGGGATGTAAATCTTGCACGTAAGACTCTATTTTCTCCGGGCAAAGTTGTAAATGGACGTCTTGGGAGCCGCCTCCCGATAGTCCGCCGGCGCGAGAATTGCCTATGAGTTAGTTTTGCAAGATAAATCGGAGCCCTTTCCCTTCGCGGCGTCGCCACCCTGCGGTGTCGCGGGAGGAGGACCGGCCCTTTGTCGCCCGAATGAGTGCTCGGAGCTCGGAGCTACGTCGTCGACTTTCTAACACCGCAGCAACTTTTCTGCGTGACGAACGATCTGACATTAAATGTTCGAAGTTAGTGACGTTTGACGCTTCTTTAGATAAATTTATCGAGATCATTCATTGGAAGTGAATCATATCTCTTCGAGATATGTTTTGGCGAAACGCAAGATTTTTTGATTGATGTTCTCTTTTATATAACTAAAGAAATCAAGGATATTAAACATCAAGATAAAACTCTTATCAAATGGAATTAGAAAGATTAAAAGATTACCGCGACTTGACAAAAAAAAATTTTTAATGTACAATGTGATTAAATAAAATGTTATAAAGTAAATATAATATCAAATTTAATAGATAGAGAGAAGAGACTGATTTTTCGTTATTTTTAAATGTAGACAGAAAACACAAATTATCATATTTTACAAGAATATATCTCTTTCAAATTGCATTAGTTCTTTCACGGTATAATGCACATAAGTTATAGACACACGTGTTATTTTAGCTGTATTACAAGCTGGCAAAATTATCTCCAAAACGGACTGCGAAATCTTT